GATATGGACATAGACGCTGATATTAATGGACGCTGCCTGCAAAAGTATATACCAAAATTGTAATTTTAACAACCCAAAAATGACGCTCAACTACAGGTCATTTTGCTGTTGATGTGTAGAAATGTTTCCATTCTGTTATTTTGAAATCAAGACCCCAGAGAAAGACATATTGCCTTAACTTATGCATTGCACAAACATGTGTGTGGCATCGTCCCCTATGGATATGACAAAAGAAATACACTGTAAAACTTTCCTATAACAAATAGTTTCCTTTAGATAACCATTAAGTGAGGTATATATTTCTAGAGTCTAGGTTACAGCGTTTGTACTAGACCGTATCACAGATTGATTGTGATATTGTTCTTGGGCATCATTTTGCTTCACAGAGGATAGTACCCGGCCCTATCTGATGACAAATGGTCGTGAAGGCAGTACCAACTACATCAATGCAGCTTTCCTGGATGTGAGTTTGAAGCAGAATCCTCAAGGCTCCCTTTTGTTTATAGCGTACATATCAATCTCAGGACAATCCTAATAATGAGTGCATCTTGACTTTCGTTTCTGTTTATGTGTGCTACAGGGTCACAAAGGCGAGAATGCCTATCTAGCCACCCAGGCTCCCCTACCTAACACAGCGGGTGACATCTGGAGAATGGTGTTTGACTATAAATCATTCTGCATGGTCATGCTCAATTCCATGGACGATGACCCAAGCGTTGTCCAGTATTGGCCTGAGAAGGACAGCTTACAGTTTGGCCCCTTGGCCGTTACATTCAAACGTGAGGACCGACACAGCAACGACATCATCATACGGCTGTTTGATGTTACCTATCCACTCAGAAAGGTAGGTATGTGCTTTGTGGTTGGTAATGCTACTGTTATCCAAAGTATAGACTCAGCAGCCAATTTTTCATATTTGTTTGGCATATTGTTGTTTCTTCGGTAAAAAGTACATGTGTAAATCTCATAGTGTAGGATTTTGTAGTTTTGCAGGTATAGAAAGACCTATTTGAAACAAAGAAATATACTTTAATATTCAGAGTGACGAGGTTCAGAGCGTTTGCCATATCCAGTACCTAGGATGGCCCTCTGGGAAGGAGGTTCCAAACTCACCTTCTAGTCTCCTCAAGGTGCTGGAGGCTGTTAAGGTGTGGACCAGAGACCACCCAGACGGACCCATCACTGTCCACTGCATGTAAGTTCTCAAGGGAGAAAGCCTCTTTGTTAAATGCACGTTTTCAGAGTGGTGTAGGCTGACAAGTGATTGACTCCTCGATTCACACTCTATTCTTAGTGATGGTGTTGGATGCAGTGGAACCTTCTGTGCCATACTCACTCTTATGGATCACCTCTTGGAGGAGAAGGTTGTAGACGTTTTTCAAGCTGTCAAGAAACTACGAACATCGCGAGCAGGAATGGTCAACACTTTGGTAGGTGGAAGAGCATTTTCTGTATTGAGGGGATCATAGAATTTTGGAAATGCACGGTGGTTGAAAGACCCAAGATTTGCTTCACTCACGTGTCGTGCCTGGGTGCTTTGCTCTCGCCAAATTGAGTTCATGGCAAAATCCCAAGTCGCACATAATAATAATAATAAAAAAATAATAATAAAAAGTACTTGTAAAGCGCCCTCTATCTAGCAAACCATTCCGAGGCGCTGTATTATCATTATCCCTGCACATTGGGCTCACACATCATCTGAACATTCCTTAAACCATCTCAGCTCCCTGGAGAGTATACTAAGCCTGGTGCTGCCATTTTGGCGCAAATGGCTAAACTACCTTATCTGCCCTCACAGGCACCCATTTGCTCCTGGGTGGAGAGAGGCACATAGGGGTAAAGTGACTTGCCCAGGATCACAACATGCTGCCACCAGCTGGGTTCGAACCCCTGACCCTATGATCAGAAGCTACAAATCCTAACCACTAGGCCACATGCCTCCAGTGGTACAATGGTATATGCTTAATAGCACTTTTTTCATGAGTAGATATTTTAGAAAATTTCCATTGACAGAAAAAACGGGTAAGGATTGAATCAACTAATATCAATTTATGGTTTCCTTCCAGTCGCAGTACCAATTCTGCTACCAGGTAGTTCAGACTTACTTGGATTCAAGCTCCATCTATGAGAATTACCGATAAATCATCAGCCGTCGGTGGAACAAACTAAGACATCAGATTTGCAAGTCGATTACTATTTGTTTACAAGGGTTAGTGCTCTTTTAGAGAATGAGAAGCCAGAACGATATCTCTAATTCCACCCTACGTGAAGAAAATTAATGTGAATTGTGTTTTCAGAACACCCAACATGGGTTTTATCGGTGGTTTTCACTCTGTTATGTAAAATTGAGTATTTCTATATCTACATTTCTTTTCCATCAATACGGGCAGCAGTCCCTTAAAAGATTGGACCAATGGATCATTGGTATCGTGACTCAAGATATGGTTAAATTTGGTTCACGCATTTAGTGAAGTGACAGTACACAGTTGTGACGGAAGTCTGTATTAAACACAATGACACCATACTGGAATGAATGAGATTATCGACAAACATCAGTTATACTCAGATATCATGCGAAGTTTAGGAGCAAATTGTTAAGGTACTCCTCTAATCAAACAAAAGAGAGACATCAGAAAGTGAAACTGATCGCTTTTGTTAACTTTTGCAATTTTTTATGAATTGTATATACTGCACGCGTGAACGCATGACATTAATTTATCTCATCCGCTGTAGGTGCTACACACGTTCGAAACAAATGCTGCTTCATGGTACAACCTTAATAAATTCTCCAACTAAATTGATAAGATCGCGAGGTCAAGTTAAAATCAAGGACGAAATCCGTTGATGCAATTTTTCCCGCAGTGCGCGGCGGATGTATAGACTTGAAATAGAGAATCTTTGTCATATAAAACGAAAGATTTTAATATCAAAATTAAAATTCGTCTTAATATTAAAATGGTGGCATGGTTGATACACAGAGTGGTTAAAATTTAATGGTTATTTCAATTCAGAGAACATAACTTATTTAGAAAGAACTTAACCCCATGAGCAGGCACTTTTCTGTCCATCTTACAGCCGCGAGGGTAGGAGGAAGTAGATTTCGGCTATCATATGCCCACTTTCAGTAGCATGCATATTAGGACACTATTTGAATACAGTTGTGATGAGTGGTATAAGGTATTGCTGTAGTCACCTATAGTTGGCCCTACCCAATGGACTACTTCAGCAGGAAAAGTTGACTTTTTAAAGTTGATCTGTCTCGGAGAAATGTGTGTTCTGCGATCATATTATAGACAAGCATGTCTGATTTTCACGACAATGGCGTACGTGGGCCACTGTCAAGCAATGAGAGATAATAGTTTCGGGTGGGAGGACTGCCTCGGCTCTTTGAGGTCTAAATATCACCATCTAGAAAAGGAAGATCGAAATAAATGAAGCTGTAAATATTTTCGGGAAACTACTTGGTTAAAGTTCACGTGTGATGTGAACTGACTAAATTATTGCGAGAAAAGAACTATCATCCTTACTTCGTTAACCATAATCTTGAATATTTAACAATTTTACGCTATTTTTTGAACAAAACTCTCAAAAACCTTGTGTTTATAATGTTTTATCCAGGAGGTTTATTATTTTTAGTTTTGGTGTAGGTTTAGCTGTGATTTCCTAATTTTACTCTCACCATGTCAGGTAGTTAGCATTCTTATAGCGCAGGGTTAGAGGTGTCTGTCCCAGGAAAGATCGAGACATCAACGATGGCAGCAGAGTTAGGTCTAGGTAAATTTGTTCTCCCTGTTGGCGGGACAGACGTATGCCCATACTGCAGTTTGGGTACCAGCGTGGTGACGTTCATTAATTACTTAAATGTCCATTTATTTCCTTAAGTTGTAACCTGTATTGCGCCGTTGATCAGTTTTTGGAAATGGCGCATTTTCATTTTTCAACTACATGTAGCCGTCTTGTTGTTGTTATCGCTCGTTATGAACAGCATGCATGTACTTGAAATGTTTAGTACATTAAATAAACAAACATGTGCTATTGCCTTTTGTAGCTTAGAACTCTGAAATCGTTACCTGTCAAGAAGTCGTTTTATCTGAAATGAAATGATTATAACCGTTTTCCGCTTCGCAGAAAAGGTGGCCACGTGATCAAGTCTGTCTTGCTGGTACATTATATTATTGAAATCTCTCTTGAGAAACTTGCAAGTTACGAAGTGCACAAACCAAGCGGCGCTTTTGTTCAATACTAATAAACATGTTTGAGTTCTTTTGCATTCTTTTAACTTTGAAATAAGACAACACAATACATTTACGTTCCTCTCTCAAACTGATTATTGGGGGGGTGCAGACGTGCACGCTTCCCAGTCACTCCCAGTCATATTGGTTACCCCCTGGGAATAAAAACATTAAAAAAAAATACACTGTAATCAGGAAAACACTGGGACTTGAGTCCCCTTTCAGCTCCACCACTCACCCCCTACGATGAGAACCTTAGTTAATTGGCGACGCTGGCGAAAGAGGAACAAAGTTTCTATGGTAGGATCCAATTGAGGTCATGCTTTCATAAGCGATTATTTCCGTTTCCAAAGGCCATTAAATTGTTTTGTGTAACCATCTTTTTCAAATTTTCAAGAGATTTACTTACCACAGCTGGACAGAGTAAGAATGCACTTTTATTTTCTTGAGATCGGAAGTAACCCGTTCGTGTGCTGTTTTCCCTTATGGCGAGCTCCATTCTATCCCATCATTCACTGCAGTAAACTCACTTAACACTACTGAGACACTTGGTGGCAGCAAATGTGGTTGTCTGTTTTGTATTGTTCGTCATTTTATGGGAAAATGGGTACCATATCTGGCGCTACACATACGTAACACATGAAAATTATTTGGTTAACTTTCCCATATTTTCAAAATCAAAACTTATTAGATTTATGCCACATATAATATAATCCCAGTTCGTTCTAGTCTGTGAGCAACTTCAAAGGGCATATTCCTCAAATTTTTAGTCTTTCTGTTGTTTCGAAAAATGGTAGCAAATCAGGTCATGAAATTGGCGACATGTTCTCTGGAGGCGATAAGGAAAGAATAAATGAACTAATCTTTTCCAATTTGTTATTTTATATTGAGGGCATACTACGGGCTAATAATAAAATAGGGTAATCACTGGTAGGCACACATGACGGGCGAATAGGAGAGTATTCATGAAACGCACCTCGGCCGGCGACATGAGAAAGACGCTATAAATATCACCTTACTGTCGTCATTTCTAAGATTTTTCTTGATTTATAGACCTTCTTACCACATGGGTTTCTGAAACAAAACTCAGCGAAGAAGAAAATTCATATAAAGCATTATCAAACACATTCCATACTTCCATAGCGACACAAAAATGACACATTTGAACTCTATACCGGAGAATGCACCCGATGAAGTTGGGCCTGCCAATTTAATTTGTCTCGAGGTAAACGTAAAGTCTTTCTGTCTTCAGTGGCTTAGCAAGATCATTTTAATGGTGGAGGTCAGTATGAAAGGGACTCCCAGTATTAGGTAGATTTTTTCTCCCCCCTTCACCCGACCTCCGTTAAACCACAAGTGCGTGGAGGAATGAAGCTCAGAAATTCTTCTGACAACAGGCGGCGCTCTTCTAATAACTGTACCACAGTGTGCATTGGCGCCTAATCCACCATTTTGGTTCCAGCAATGCCCATGTCGCAACTCCCTTTATAGGAAAAACTGGATTGTGCACCTCCTTACCCCGGTGTGACATTACAAATGGCATTTAGTAAAAAGTTCCCAGGCGAAATATGACACATACGGGTCGGATAATAAAGAAATCATTGTTCAAATATTCGAAGTAAAAACCCTTGGAGGCAGTGGCATGGGCAGATGTGTGGCCTGTACACTTCTTCATGCCCCTCAATTTGAAATTTGTGATCAATCTCCGTTGAAATGCAAATTCAACGGAATTTTTTGGGTTGCCGCCTTGAAAAATAAGTGAGCAACCCCGAGCAGCCTCAGATATTTTAGCCCTAGTCACGTTTTCCTTCTAGGAGGGGAAAATAAGACCTGATTGTTTAAACAAAAAAAAATTGCGAAGGAAAGTTTCCTTCCCCGCCTAGGTGTTTTTGATCGTTACTCATATGTTGGGATTCTGTGTTCGATTTATGCACGGGAAAAAAAGGAAACGAGACTTAAAAACCCAAATATAATTTATTGAACGGCGTAGGGATGATTGCAATTGCATGTACTCTGAAGAATAAACACACAGAGCCAATACACGTTTGTTTATAAGGAAATAGAGTCTATGCTTTCTGAATGCTAATGAGATGGGATGACTGTGGGATGCAGTTGGCAGATGAGAACCAAGACTTTGTAAACACAATGTGTATATTAGGGTTCTGCCGTACGTTTTATCATTAAAACAAGAAACATTTACAGGGTACTTCTGTAAACTTCCGCTAAACCTTCAGAATACTTAACTTGGAGATGAAAGATCCCTTTCAAGGTACTGGTTTTATTTGAGACTGATCCTTGATCCTTGTCATTATTGGAACCTGCCCCGGAAAAGACGAGGGACCGTCTTGTCCCCATTTCATTAACTTACTTGCAATGATTGCGAATATAGTGCTTTGTTCTGGTGGGGCTGTCTTCAACTTGGATAAAAGCAAATGGTGGGAAATGGTGTCAGTATTTTGCAGTAGGCCCCTCTCTTTCATAAGTTGTTTAAATTGTGGTAAGCAGGTTCATTCTTTCGGTATGGGAACATTATTTAACGAGAAATGAAGTGTTAATGCCATGTGGAAATTATATCGGGAGTAAAATTATTAGAGAGGGCTATTTTAATAGGCGTCCCTTCAATTGAAATACTGGATCTATTGGCGCCATTGCTGATGAAATGACGACCAAGAAAGAGTAAAACGTCAAAGAGGAAGTTTAAAAAGTAAGTGTTGTGTGGAGATGGTCACCACGCGTTCATCACAATGCCCTGAACATGAACATACATGTACATGTCATGTCAGTATGTACATTGCGTGCGTTTTATACAGCTAGTACTCTGAGCAATCGTTTCCATAATAAGGAAACAATAACAGACGGAGGAAGTTTATTTCTAATTTGAAAGTAAAAATAGCACACTCTTGTCGAGCTGCGATCACGTGGTTTGGCACGAGACATGATGAGGAAGAAACACTGACTGGGCATAAAAGAATGGAAAAATTGTACAAATCGAGGGAGTTTGCGATGGCCCAAGAGCGTGGATCTGTTGTCCCATTTTTGTTTCCGCAAAAATTCATCCAAACGGTAATCTCATCATTTTCCGAAAGGTAAATTGTTTTTACAAAGGTTTAAAAATATAATCCGATGAACGAAACTATAAGGAGGCACTGTCAAAAATGTTGAGTCCTGAACCCCTTTGCGCGATTCTGCCCCTCCCTGCTCAGAAATTAGATAACCAAAAATCCGGTTTATAGTTTTCCTTGGTCAGAGTTTCAAATAATTAAGAACTCATTCATCACCCCCTCCCTCCAGAAAAAGAGGGCTCAGTGTGCCCCTGCAAAAAATAGCCGTGTTATGATCATTACGCCATGACATTTGCATAGTGTACACTGTTATTGAAGAAAGTTTAAATGCATTAATTCGACGGAAAGTATTTGAATATTGATACTCTATCCATTTACGATAACTATTTCTTTTTTGCAGTTGGTCAATCAAAACATCTTAGATCCTCACTCGTTCAAATCAAGTGATCGTGCTTGCTCATGAGCCACAGAAAAAGCCTAGATGCAAAGTATTTCCAAAATCTTCAAAATTGTGACTGAATGCTTCCATTTTGAATGAATTTAAACGTTTGACCACAACTGTGCATGAAATGCCATATCTTTTATGCGCAATTCATGATTATGCGCAGAGGAAAATGAACATGCATTCAACTATCAAGAACATGACTTGGAAATTCATAGAAAGAGAGCCTAGGCTGTTCCATGAGGCAGAAACTCCCCTACGGGAAATTGTTGCGCATTTCACCTTTCAATCTTGTCCGATCTGGCAAAAGACGATTGAACGTGTGGGAACGACCAGTCATATTAATACCAAAACATAAGATCCTTCACTCATTCCGTAAAAAGGGGAAAGTCTGGAGACTGCCAAATATTCGCCAAAGAGAGTGGACATCATCGGCAGCTTTGCCACTGTTTTTGGATGAGCTTGGGCTGAAACACACCAGGAAAGTGCTGAACAAAAATTTCTTATCGTTCGATCAAGATTGGCTTGTTGCCTCGGCTTGACAGCTTCTTTTTTTTATTTCGTAACTTTATTTTCTAATTTAGTTCCTTGTCCAAGTAATGTCCTCTCCTAGTCACATCAATATGTGACTAGTACATTTGTGTTACTCGTAGCAAGAGCATTAAAAGCAGGCACGGCATTTTCAGTGGAATGAATTTGGATTCTTTGTCGTTTATCAGATGACTTTTGGTAGTTAGATCCCTTTATTGTTAGCTTGAAAGTGTTTCTAAGCTGGTATGAATTTTGGCATTGACATCCTCAATTAAGCTTTATTCACACAAAAAGTCTCTACATAAAGTAAAAAGACTCCATTGTCTCATAAACACCGTGTATGGGTTGTATTCAGTGTTGTAGTCAAGGCCACAACCGCCGGGGTCAAGACTGAGGCCACGCCTTCCGAGGCTAAAGCCAAGACCCAGGCCGTAACCTCGAGGCCGAGGCCAAGGCCGTAGCTACCAAGGCCGAGACCGAGGCCGAGGCCAGCTATTGGTATACATCCTAACAACAAATCAAATCGACCACTCAAACCAGGCCAAGATTTTGTTAGATGTATTTCTTGTTTATTTTGAAGTCAACGGCAGAATGGCAGGTTACTGATGAGAGACTGATGAGAGAAAATGCTCGTTACAACATTAGGGTCTCCAACATCTCCTGGGAAAGCCGCAACGCTCATTCATGGCAAACTGGCAGACGGGGGGGCCAGACTATGGTGTGAGACTGGTTCTCGAACAAAAAGGTGCTACATATGCAGCGGCGGCCGTGACCGTCGCACGGATGTTACGGAACGTGCTCACATTACGTGATTTTGGTTCAACGAGGAAAAATACACACACAAGGAACCCTAGAAAAGAATGTTGCAACTGGACTTGGATGACTCTACTTTTATGTTCATATACCTTAACGAAGATCGGTAAATGTAAAAATGATAAGAAAAAAAACCCACACTTTTTGATTGAAAAAACATGTTGAATTGTAGGGAAAATTGGGCGGCCTCGATTGATTCTTCGAGGACAGAGATCTCCGAGGCCTAGTCCAAGGCCGAGGCATTGCCCTCCGAGGCTAAGGCCGAGGCCATAAAAATCGGCCTCGAGGCCTCCAACACTGGTTGTATCTATATTTCATTTTCTTGTGGCAGACAGACATGCGGTTCAATCCTAAAAGCGGTTGTCATCAATGGATACGGCTTTTGATCAAAGCGCAGTATGACCCAAAACAAGTGAAGCCACAGCCGCAAAATATACCATTTGAGGGCAATAGACGCCAAAGTGGACGAGGAAGTAAATCAAGTAATTGTTAAAATCTGGGAAATCATTTTAAATATTCACAACGAATGTGAAGAAGGGTATTGTAGTTTATGGTAAAAACCACAATCTCAATTTATTCCGGAAATTATGATCGGTCTTGTAGGAAATATATTACTTCTTGATCCGCAAATCAAAGTTATGTCAGGCACCAGGATGTCTGGAAAAAAGAATAAAAAGCGTTTACTTCCTGTTTCGAGCTTAGTTCCGTATTCATTTGTGGGTTGGAAGTGAATGAATCGAGTCGAAATAATACTTTTAAAAGGCATTAATCTCTGTTATGAGTGGCAGTTCAACGTCATGGCGGGCTGTCGTCGTGCCGTCCCTTTGTCGCTTCTTCTTGGACTTTTTCAAGGTATCTGTGAGTTTTTATTGCTTCGTTTGTTTGTTTGTTTACATTGTTTGTGACTGATTTCAACTTTGTGCTCGCCCAAGTCTCTCTGAGTGAATGTTGAATAACAATAGTGAATATAATTCTGATTCGCTGCCCTCCATTCGTTATGGATAAATATATCAAGAGTATTTCAGTATTGCAGTGTGTTTATATGAGAGCCAATGGAATCTGGTATCAATTTCATGCCGTCAAATATCCATGGATATTCGTACTATCAATATAGCGTGTATAGCCATACTTCATAATGTTTTAGTTTTCCATTGTGCGATTTTCTCTGCAAACAGCTCCTCACTGCCTTTATCTATTGTGAACAAGTGCGTTGCAGTACAATTATTGATCAGTGACGAGGATACCTTCGGCTCGCCCTGTCACTCAGAGAATGTGACGTGTTCATAAATGGAGAATTTTTGCCAGTCTTTGGAAAATTTTATCTGGAGAATTCATAGCAGACGCAAGTTAAGCAACTACATTTCTTGGTTCAACATAATATAGTTTACATAATTCGTAAGATAATTTGTGTCTAACGTCCAAAGTACCACTAAAGACATTTATTTCATTGTCAGATTGGCCATGTGTGAAAATGCCAAAAAATGCCCTTCTAACGGACACTGCACGCGCTTCTATAACACATCCTAATCTCTGTGGCTAATATTTTCACTCGTATTTTCTCGGTTTATACTCCCTTGCCAAAGACAATACGCCGAGGATAGGGAAAGTATGGAATTCCATATCTGCCGTCGTGCGTCGTGGATCGATCGAACAAGGACATGTGAAACGATCAAGGGTCAAAGTTAAAAATACCACTGCGCAATCGTGACAAAAAAAAAAACCCACGGGCGCGCCCGTCGTGCGTCGCCCGTCGTGGGTCGTCCGTCGTGGGTCGTCCGTCGTGCGTCGCCCGTCGTGTGTCGCCCGTGGTTTTTTGTCACGATTGCGCAGTGGTATTTTTAACTTTGACCCTTGATAGTTTCACATGTACATGTCCTTGTTCGATCGATCCACCATGCCCGACTCTCATTTTAGCAATAAAACTAAAAGATGTACATGTATTCGTTTTTGCAGTTGCGCCAAACTCCAATTGAAAGAAGAAATAATATCCTGACAACGGTTAAGTAACGTGTATATGAAATAATACCATTTTGGTTACATAAATAAATGAACAAAATAGACTTTTGTTAGGGTAGATTGTTTTTCTCGATAACTTAGTTACTCTAGACGTAACTTTACTCGTTAACAGCCCGACTTTAGGTCTATAGCCTATGTAATATTTCTGTCTGTCCCTGCACGATATTA